TAGCTCAGGGCTGATTGATGCAGATTACAGTTAGGCAATCGCGGTGGCCGCCTCTCACATATGATTCAGATAGCCATTGGTGACGACAGCGGGGAAAAAGTTCCCACTGGTCCATTTTCACTTCCTCATCTTTTTGATTTGCTGGTTATTTCAAGTAGGTTTAATGGCATTGGAAAGCTGGATTCAAGGATACGCTGAAATACTGACCTTCTGTACCACCGCTTCTGAAGTCTGGGAGTAAGAACTTTTGCACGTTGACCCTTCCCTCACGAATTCAATTCCAAACGAATTGAAGACAAGGAACTGAAGAAAAGCCTGCGTGCAACTTTACTAATCTAATATGTTAGGCAAACCCTTAAAGGGCAAGTCCAGCCGGAAGGGTTATTTAGGCGCGTTCATACTTCTCTTTAACCGCGCGATTACGACAAAGGGCGTTCCAACGCCAGTTTGGAAGCCGCAACCGTTACAAAAGAAAACTTCTACTTATCATTTTTGCGCTTTTTTCCTTGCACGGTCTCCATTAAGGTACTATTTTTATCTGTTTCGACTTTCCTATGACGACATATTAATGAAACCTATATGCGCTGATTTGCATTTGTATTTATTCCTTACAACAGGCTAGCACGAAGCAAATTGATGAAAGGCCTTCCAGCTCGAATTTTATTAAAGTTGTCGCTGCAGCGGTCCACCGATTGGCGATGGAGCGCTCTCAGTCGTAGTCGCGCGGTCCAATGCGATCAGAATCGCCTAGTATCGATCGCTCTTCTTGTGCAAAAGTGACATATGACTTTTTTGAAATTGCGCCAACTCCGAGCTCCTCCCCCCCACTGGACTTGGGCGAAAATGCTCATTTCCATGGCTACAACTGCAGTTGTGCAAGAGCTTTTATCCCACCCCCCCCCCTTGCCTCCTGGCCACAGGCACACTTTCAAAGCTGCGTAGAGAATCTGTACCAGAGTTGGGTAACGCTCATCGGATAACAAGATATACAACTCCTAGTTGACTCAGGTTACGCGATTGTCCACAACTGCGCATAAGAACAGGGCACAAAGAACGCGATAAATCAATCCGAACAGCGTGACGTACATCCGCAGTCATAAATCATACTCTGTGCAGCGTTTCATACGACTTATTTTTGACTTCCTGCATGTTCCAAAGATATCAAAACTGGAACTGAGAAAGAAAAGATTACTTGCTATCGGTGTGAAAACTGCGGAGATAGCGCACTATGGCAGGGCCGGGGGGGGGGGAAGTGGGGAGGGTAAACATTACTGTCACCCACCAGAAAAAAGTGATTTGCTGCGTCTGCTGCCAACGCGGTCGAGGGTGGTACATAGCCTGCAAGAAATGGGAAAAAAACAACAATGAGGAAAAAAATCTTATATCAAAAAACGACCATCCTCTCTAGCTGCTAAATAAGACCTCCGTTTTGAAAACAACAGCGGAAAATGTGTTTCATGATATCGGTGATTGTGCTTTATGGACATAACCCGACCTTATGTCCCATTTCACTGCCTTCCCGATGCCGATCAAAAATCAATTTTAATCTATTGTTCGCTTTCTATTCAGCGTCTCTTTTCGATCAATTTGCGGTTTATTATATCGCTTAACCATAATTAAATGTTTTCAATATATCTAGTTGTGCCCCAACAATGAAACTGTCAGAAAAGCTCATGCAGTTTTTTGGGATTGTTGGCCGTTCTCCAAGATGGAAGAGTTTGCAGAAATGTCTGCTCTTTTCTAATCAATACTTGCCGCTTTGACATTCGCTTGCCCACTTTTAGCTCTAATCAATATCAGGCCATGTCCTGATGGTAGGGAAATTTTTTGCGAACTCGATCCCGACCCCCCTCACCCACCACTCTTCCCCCTCCATCATCTTCCTGAATTTCCCCGGCTTTCTACCACTTCTTCCCCAGAAAGCTGCCACTGCCGCCGAGCGCGAGCGGGCAAAAATGACCCTCCCTCCCTCCAGCGACCAAATAAGAGCCTCCCCCCCTCCCCCCTCGCTGAGGATCCCCAAAGTAGACGTGCGATCTGGGGTAATCTTCTGTGATTCACGTGCTGTTTACAATAATGTGGTTACAATGTGGTTACAATAATAATAACCTTATCAAGAACTATCAATCGTTTTTTGGCATCTATAATTCCTTGCTATAATCGCCAATAAATGCCATATCAGTCCGTCGGTACACATTTTTTAGCGACAGTGGCAACAACGCTGTGGAATCAGCGAGCACATCACCACTCTTTTCTGCTTAGGGCTGCGTTAATATAAGAGCGCCAGCTGCACAAAAGAATTTTGCGAAAAGGATTGCATATGTATCGATTTTTTCGACTCCGTCTAACTGAGCAACTCACGAAGGGATCTTAGGCTGCCTTCATACTCAGCGACTGGAAAGATCAACCACACGGCTGCGGGCGCCAGCGCCCCACCGCTAACCAGTGGACCACCACGAAGCTCGGTCGGGGTCCTCTTACGAAGAGATAGAATTGGTACTTGCAGTCACCCAAGGACTGAAAGTGGAAGACAGTCCATCAAGGTTGATTTCCAGACCGCGCGACTGAATCGCGAATTGAGCACAATCTCACACGATCCCATGTTGTCGCATCTCCGACTCCACCATCTGAAAATCAATATCCATAGACTCCCCTCCGAAGATTCTCGAATATCCCATTCCCCGATTCCTCTGTAGGGTCAGCAAGTGATGGACGTCATGTCGACCTTACGAGAGAGGACCTCTCCATGCAACCTTATGGAAGTTTTGCCTCATCCTTACACCTTTTTCGTAACGTCCCTTTGTTGAACCCTCCCCCTCCTTCGGAACAGAAACACTCTTGCTTTACCTCGCTCCACGTGCCAATAATAAAACACCATCCACAATCGAGAAGAGTGCGGATTGTTTTCCAACACATTCGTAAAGAAGTGCGAACGCATTTTGGGTGATTTTTCCGGGGCACGAGGACACCTGGAGGACACGTGGGAAGATCCAGTTAAGCACGGCACTGGAACACACGGATCTAGCATTAACAATGTGGCTCCACAAATCATGTTACCAGCCCTTAGGGTCGGTGTTATTAAGGAAATCCGAGCCGGTGGCGCGGAAGGCGTTGCAAGCAATGTCGCATACGCGGCATTCGCACCAGGTCCAAATTGATTCAGTGTGACGAAGCTGTTTCTCAAGCTAACGGCCGGAACGAGACCTGTGGTTAGGTAGCAAAAGAAAGTAACAAAAGTACAAAATAACCTTGCAAAGCTAAACAGCACCCAAATCCATTGGAATTAATTGTGCGCTTTTATAAGGAAAGAGGTATGCATTGAACGTGTTGCCCCGTTAGTTAATACAAGGTTTGTTTGTGAGCCGAGAAATTATCAGCCACCATGCGATCGTCTAAACCGCAGTCGCTTTTCACCTTCGACTAAATCGATTGCCGGCATCGACCGAGGAATTCTTCCCAAATTTTTCGTGCTTTGATACCGCCGCTGCCTAGCTAACGTCAATTTTAACAATGCAAGCAGAAGCATGTAGAATAATCAGCTGTCACAAATGCATATATAAGATGGTAATCCAAAACAGAATTCGTACGTCATTACAGTAACTTCCTTACAGTAGCCTTTTCCTTTTCCATTTAAATAATGGTAATGTGGTGTAGCCGTGGTTGCAGTTAAACGCAGTTCGCCTTCGGAAGGGAGGAGGGGGGGGGGAAGGAAGGATCATTTTGCACTTCTGTTACTAAACATCTTATTCATTACTTTACAAGAGTTACACAAGTAGTTTCTACAAACTTTGACTGGTAATCTTTCACGGTTTCACAAAACTCTACTCGATGGTTCGACACGACAGAAGGAGCAATTGTGCGAAATGCCTCTCCCTCCCGTCGTCGCCGAACTGTGCCCCAGCTCACGGTGGGGCGCCTCGAAGGCAGTAGGCACAACGAATCCCCCAAGACGACTAGGATCAATACTCCTGGCAGGATAGAATTCCGCGACCCTGGGCAGGCGCTGCATAGCGTTTCCCCGAGGAAGGTGCCCTTATAAGGGCCCTATCAAGCCACAACTTTACGTCCCAAACGCCCGCCACGCCCGCCCGCCCACAAATGGACGACCGTTCCTGACGCTCGTATTCATTCATTTGCTAAGCAAATTATGAAGCGAAGGGATTGGTATGAAGCGGCCGTGATGCTGCATGCATACATGGGTACACATATGCAGCCGTATCTTCGGTAGCGGTGATTGGTAAGATGCCTACGGGAAACTCGTCCGAAATCGATTTACAAGTCACTGAGAACGGAGGCTTTTTCTTCGCCGGATTTTGACCGTTTCACTCCGTTCTTTCGCCATTTCCCCACTATACAGCGCCCTACTAGCATTTTAGGCCGAGTAGGAAACCATCGTGCCAACTGCCTTCAATGTTTTGTCAGAAGCTTTACCTACACTCTAGTTCGCTGCGGACGGTTGGGCGTGTCAGGCAGTATGAGTGTGTCACGCCGTCAAAGCCGTTCTCTGCCTTCTTGTTGAAGCGCGCATGCGACAAAAAGTGGTAGAAAACGAGTAATAAGAACCTTATGACACGTTAAAGAATGAGAGATCGTATCATTTGCTCGCTTTACAGCTGGTGAAGCAACGGGTTTGGCGTCGCGCCAAACTCATCCCGCCTGACAGGCCCAGCCGTCCGCAGCGAACCAAACTATATGTGGCAGTATGTGAGACCGTGTTAGTCTCGAAACATAGTATAGTCCTTTCACGCCAGTCCTTCCATTTCTACCTATTTCTTCTGATTTCCGGCGCTGTTTGGCCTGGGCACGTGACAAGAGAGTCGTAATTCGCCGCAATGATTGGTGTCGCGTGCGACGTCCTGCCCGGAAATGACGATAATTATGTTATTAATGCTGGAACATTTCAAACTGCCTCGGTAAGAACGCGTAGATGAGCAGTCATGACGTGGCTTAACCCCGCTGGAGCAGCCCCTCTAGCGCATAACACAGAGTTTTTTATTGAGATGATAACATTGGAGCCTCTTTTGTCATCACAAATCCATACCACCATGCCACCACCACAAAACTTGGTTTTCCGAAGATTTAACGCCAAGCCGTCGAGTGAAAGACAATCTCTAAACGAGGCCGCAATGTGAGGAGGGGGGGGGGTTGCGCGAAAGCAATAAGAGATAGAGAAAGGAGCGAACATCAGCAAAGGTGTGAACAAAACTTCTTTCTCTACATTCATATTTCCAGAAGGTTAGAAAAGTTCATTCCACACTACCTTAGAATGTTTCGTTCTGTAATCTCCACTATGTGATGGCACGCCTCCCCATATCTTGGATCCCACCCTCTATTTTACTTTCTTCGAAGTTCTGCTTTGCAGTTTTCTTACCTACATGCGCTCTTCTTGAACTGTTTTATGTGCTGTGTCTTTATATTGTCGTTTCAATCCAGATTTGGTTTACATTTCAAAGGTAAAGTAGATGAGATGAAACCGCTTGACAGCGCCTCCTTGTGAAGTCCTACAATCAAAACTCAGCCTCAGAGCAACAATCAGAGTCACTGAAGACACGTCTCACATAGAATTTTTCTTTTTCCCCTTCCATAATCAAGGTAGTCTCTACTAAAACTGTACCTTGATTATGGGAAGAGAAACAGAGGCGCTGCCGAGTGGTACTCCATCCCAGAGAGAGAGAAGGGGCGTGTCTGCGCACTTCATCTAGACATGACGAGCATGCTTTTTCGTTGGATGTTTTCATTTCGGACAGCTGCCATCCTCGCTTATCCTAGAAGGGGCATGATAATGGTCTCAAAGTGCCCCTCCCATCTTCAAATGAAGCACCTCACCACTCACCTTCGGAAGACGGACAAGATACTCGCAATTTGCCGAGCCATCGCGCAGCAAATTCTCGATCCCCGCCAACTGTCCGGCTGGCGCAAGATGGGAATTCAGGCTGAAGCAAAACTCCCGATTCACATCGAGATTCTCCACCCCTTTCCTTTCACGTTCACTCAAACAACTCGTCCTCATGAGGCGTCGCACACTAGCTCGGCATGTTACGATTGTCTTGTCACATACCCCTAAGTTCCACGATATGAAGTGTATGTTAGCGCATATAATCTTTTTAAAAGTTGTAGCTTAGCTAAAAAATACCATTACAGATCATGGGTATAGGAATTGAGCCTAGTCATCCGTTACTGCCAAAACTACTTGGGACCTCTGCAATTATTGTGGCCTTATTTTATATCTTTCCTATTCTACTACCAATTACGGCAGGACTGCTTGTGCTTGCTGTGGTGTTCCTACGCAATAAGCCATGTAATCCTAACCACGTGAGTGATCATTTTATTTCTATAGGTGGATGGAGGGGGAAGGGGTATTTTGCACTTTCTCTGCTTCACACTATCATGTCGAGCCAATAAACATGGCAGTGGGAAGCGGCGAAAGTGCAAAGTGTCCCCCCCCCTCCCAAGCCGAAAAAAAGTTCTCAACTCAGCATTCCATGTGGGACCAGTAACACTACCTATGTCATGTTAAGGTACGTAAATTTTTTGACGGTTTTCGAATTGGTGGACATCGTGGAGCTCCAAAATCTTTTCCCGAGAATGGTATGGCTGGATTCAAGCAGGTAAACAACTGCTTTCTTTGATGTATTGAATTATTGATCTACAAATCATCGATTGGTTATCCGATTTTTTACTGCCCAGGCAAAGTCTGATGGTGCTGATTTGATTGAATTCGACGTGGCGCTGACGAAAGACGGTGAGGCCGTGCTTTTACATGACGATGATTTGGACCGGACCACTAACCTGAGCGGTCCAATTCGCGAAAAAACTCTGGCACAGCTAGCGCCCGCCAATATTAGCGCGAACTTCATCAGAACAACGTATAACATTTGCATTAAAATTTCGCTTCAAAATCGTTTGTTCACAATGCCCTTGAAAAATGAATATGTTTTCAGGCAACGCGACTTGGCTCCGGTTCAAAATGAGGGCATACCCCGGCTTGAAGCTGTTGTGAAATGGGCTGTTGACAACGACATGAAGATGCTTTTCGATGTGAAGGATTCGCATCCGGAGGTTTGATTGCCTACCTATCCCAAAATGCACGACTTTCGAGGCTTCAGTTTGGGCTACAGTGTCTAGGGGGGGACCATTGTATAGCGCATGTGCGCCTTCTCCTCAGCCAAAGGTTAGGCTCAAAGCGCAGACAATTACAGTCGTCACAGGTTATTCTTGCATAGCAGACAGCTTCTACGCAGTGCTAACCATCTGCGATCCAAACCTAAGCATTATGTAAGAGACGCAGAGACACTGAGGAGTGCCCCCACCCTCGTCCCCCCCCCCCGACAAAAAACGTCATCACCTTCAGCATTTGGAAAATTGGATTTTTAGCTTTCGATCACTTTAACCTACTTTTTAGCTCGTGCATATTATTGGAGACTTGTTCGAGAGATATAATCTCTATGATAGAGCCATTGTGTGCAGCTTCTACCCATGGGTGGTCTACCTCATCAAACAAGGAAATCAAAAAATACTTAGCGGTGAGATTTCTTGTCAATGAAACTTATCACATCGGTGAAGTAGCGTCCCTACTTGTAGTTAGAATCAAGGGCATGAAATAATTCAAAGAGAAGTGTACCACATATGGTATAATCGTTTAAAACCATTCACATTTTCAGCGCGGCATTGAGGAATGCTTATTATTATGTAGGTCCCATTAAAAATGGCCACCCCTACCTGGGATCCGTATCTTTTGAGAGAAGGAACCTTTCGACGATGACCTCCTACCTCGGCGATGCGAGTACGCCTTGACAGCGTTTATAATCACGCGCTGCGACACGCTATCATTGCATTGCAACAGTCCAGTGCTATAGACGGGAACGCGACCGCGACCGGTATCGATCGGTGCCAACCGCTAACGTTTTGTGAGAGTATGGAAGAATAGGAAAGTAGCAGTCTGGGTGATTAGGCAACACGTACCCGCCCAAAATCCTATACTTTCTTAAAACTGTCAATCCCGATCGATACCCTTCTGTGGCTGCGTCCGCGCTACTTCACGAAGTCTGAAGGCTGCCTGAGCGAAGCGGCTGCGGTTTGTTATCTTTTCATCCAGGGTCGCAGACAGCGTACGCGTAAGAGGATGCAGGCGGCACAAAAATGCTGAGGCATTCTTGAGCCGTCTCTGTAAAGCGGCAACACTCCAGCACCGGCGCGCTCACAACCGGTTGTCCACGCACGACTAGATCCTCTAGAATCGTGACATGAACTATATCCACATATAGCCATGAAGCTGACTTTTTGATGAACTGGGACCTTTCTATTCTTTTAGGCAGAAAGAACAACTCACAAAACAATCATACAGACAAGGTAGTCAATGCTACCCAAGCTAGTTAAACCTAGTTTACATGAGTCACAAAAAATCCATGCGCAAGGGGTGCGTAGTAGGCCAAGCCCGGACGCCGCACTTGAGAGCACTATGTAACGCGCGGCAACGTGATGATGCCTACTATGTTCGGGGAAGGGGCTCTGGATTATTCGTGATTCACGAAACTATACATTGCGATTAACATGCGGTGCAGGTGGTTGTATTGATCAAGAGGCAATGAGATTAATACACCCGAAAATATACAGTCGTCATCCGGGCACTTGATTAGGGCGGCAAGGGTCGCGACGCGGCTGCGGCGCGTCACGACCGCGGCGATCAGCTGTTTCCAGCCTAATTTGGCCATTTTCTCCCTAATTTTCACTGTATTTTCTATTTTTTAAAGGTTTGTTTTATTGTCTTTATGGGAATGTTTTATTGTCCTCTCATGATCAGGGCGTGGAGTCCCTTTCTTATTTCTGTAATAGTGTTTTTGCGATTTGTAAAGGTGTTTGCCGATTGTCTGAATAACTGTTCAGTTGTGCGCAAAAAACAGAGGAATCTCAATCATAATTTACCTTGTGAAGACAAGGAACAACTAATCTCGAGAAAAGCAGCCATAACAGTGTAAATTAGGGAGAAAATGGCTAAAATAGGCTGGAAACAGCTGATCGCCGCGCTCGTGACACGCCGCAGCCGCGTCGCGACCCTTGCCGCCCTAATCAAGTGCCCGGATGACGACTGTATACCTATAAGCGCCGCGTCGCGGCCACGCCCACTCGCACCCGCTGGACGATTGTCTTGCACGCCCGCATGTGCGAAATAGAACTAAGAATTGATTTTTAGGGCTCACATGGCGTCGGAGATTCTTTTCCTATAAGGACATCGAAAACACCACACCTCGATATACCGGTTTAATGCATTATATCTTCGTTCTGCTTGATATCGTTCATGTGTTTTTACTGAAGCTCATCACTCCATGGTTTCTCGGCGCCGATCTATTGCTCACTAACAACTTTGACATATCGAAGTGAGTAAAGTCTCAAATTGATACAGTATTTTTACAGTGGGTGGGTCAAGGCACATAATCGCATTTTTGGTAAATTCCTGCTACCCCGGGGAGGCAGGTGCAGACAGGTGCAAGGCGCTCCCAGCTAGAATTTACAGTACTTTGCCAGGCGGCGCCCGTTTCGAAATGAGATTAAGAACGGTTCACTTCGATCAATGGCTTTACATAATAGCACTAATGAAAAGCACAAATAAAAAAGTCTAAATAGTGAAGAAATGAAAATTTAGTAAGAGATATGATAAATGAAACTGATAGATTCATAACAACTCACAGTAATCATATTCCGCTCAGGAGCTTCGTCATGCAGAAAAAGGACGCGGTCGCCATGTGGCTGTATGGACAGTGAACGATGTGGCTGAAATGCATTGGATGCTTGAGGAATTGTCAATTCCAATCCTTACGGATCATCCCTGCTATGCCAGCATTATGTCACATTTGAGTGCGATTCGTGAAAAGAATTACAACGAACCAGCATTGGAAAATGCTGCCCACAGTAGCGTTCAGTAGATACTATCGGGTGTTGCTCAAAGGCACCATTTGGAACAGGGTACAGCATCGGGATGGGATAGGAGAAATGGCGGTGTCAAATGATCCCCTCCAAATCCTAAACTTCTTTCAGTAAGACCTCCCTACCCTCATCCCGCCTACCATCTCCCAAAGTTTCCCCCAACTTCCCTTATCTTTCCTCAGTTTTCCATCATTTCCCCAGAATTCGAGTGACGGGGAAGGGGGGATTGAGGGTGCGGGGTGGAGGGGATTGGAAGGGGGTCGCTACCGAACAACTACTATTTTTAGTCAATAACCGATAAAATCACCTTCAAAGTGTTATGAAAAATTCTTGTCCTGATCAGATACGACCTCACTCCCTCCACTCTTGTCCCCATGATGAGATTCTCCCTACGATGCTGTACCCTTGTTCGGGATTGCCGGGAGAGCGCAGTCGGCAAAAGATGTCTTTGACGCGCCCTCGTGTTCCCACCTTCTATGGCTGTAAAGGAGGCGAACAGAGCTAAATCCTGGCAAATGCAACGACAACAAAAGCGACTTTTCCTGGCTCCTCCCTCTCGGCAAATGCCAACAGCGCTTTTGAAGGCACATTCCACGCTCGTCACTTGGACAATGGCACCCCCCCCTCGGCCACGTGCTGCCTTTGCGAGACTCTTTCTAAGTACGACGCCGCCCCCTTCCACCCCCTAGCATCTACCATCTTCCTCAATCTTCCCAACAGCATGATACTTTTCCGGAAGTTTCTCCACTTCTTCCCGAAAAAAAACTTCCGTTGAGCGGGTGGGGAGGCAAGGGGAACATAGCGCACTTTCCACGGGGAAAATCTAAAAGAAAAAAGAAAAGTCAAAAATCGAAAGCAAAATACGACCCCCCCCCCCCTCCTCGCTGGAAATTCCCAACGAACGATGTGCCCTGACCCCTGTCATTTGTGGGTGCCTCTTCTTCTATGGTAGCAGAAACCAGGAGCGTATCAATGAAGAACAATGGTCCAAGTGACTCCGCCCACGATATGAGCGCGGAATGTGCCTCTAATCTGTACGTTAAGATATCGTCTGGGAAACCCTCTCCAACGTCTAGGACTGTTAACAAAACCAATAGGAGATTTTTTTCGAGCTACACCCTAGCAGTAGTGGACCTTATGTTTAATTATCCCCCCATCCCCTCCAGAAAAACCTCACGTTTACTACTCTGTTCATAGCTCAACCTCAGTACTTTATCATTTCATCTGCCTCATCTCAACAAGAAGCAATAATTCTATTGGGTTCTTAAATAGTATAGTGCTTGTAATAGGTCATAATGCCATTTCATTTCACTGGACATCGTCACGAGTATGACTTTTTCGTTTAGCACGGTCAACGAAAAATCAATAAAGTATTGATTTTCGGTCGGGAAACCCTGTTGTTTAACGCGGACTCGGGTTTTCAAGGAACGTTTATGCAAAACAATCGAGATCATTAGCACAAACAACGTCAATGAATACAGACAAACGAGCAAGCAAACTCTATTCACAAGGATCTCACAGAGATTAAAGGAATGCATAGTTGGTATCGACGTAATCAGTCGGGGCGTTGTTTGAGGATTAGAGTGGGCCCGCCCCTAGCGGCACTTTCCACCAATGGCGAACGATTGATCGATTTAGGCAGCATAACAACTTGTAGTTGCGAACGCCGTGTGTCGGCCTATTTACTGCCTCCTGACACCGCTCCAACGGGAGACGCTCACGTCGTGCGCACAGCTTCACAGTTAGCGCTGGCATGGGTTGTCGTTGGAGCAAGAGATTCCCGTTAGTTCACCCTCCTAGAACCTCTCCTTGGAAGACCATCCGTCCGTGATCCCTTTCACAAACTGAACGAGCCATGCAACACGACCGCTGCTGCGTTGCCAGCCATGCTCATCTGTGCGCCGCGATTGGATCGCATATATCCCGCCCCGACTAAGTCCCACGATATCAACCGGAAGTACTGGTGAGGAAAAGTTAACAATAACAGAGATTAATCGAACAATTGCTTTCATCAGAGTATAGTTAAAGTTGATAGTAATTACGTGTAATGCAAATGACAGATCGGTCGTTTCTATCAGAGCTGAACGAAAGAAGTAAGTGACGAATTAGGCCAAATCAAAACCAGCTAGATATTACCCAGACTTTTGAGATACTAATTTTAGTCCGAATAGACGTTATCATCCAAGCCCACAAGGTCGGGCTCCGAGTCCGAGCTAAGGAACTGATTCGATGTCGAAGGCACAGCTCGTCTATAATTCATGGAAAAGATTACAGTATGAGATTTCAGTTGCGGTACACTCTAGTATTCTGCGGAGGCTGGGGCGTTTCAGGCGCTAGAACTGGCGCCGCACCACCCTATTTTCCACCAGCTGCCGTCGGCTGCCACGTTGGATGAGAACAGGCCGGCGCGGCGCCAAACCCAGCTCCAATAAAACGCCCCAGCTCCGAAGAGGACAAGTCCTAAGAGATTCTGCAGTGGGATAAATAACTACAATTGAAAAAAGCTTGGTATAAACCAAAAAATCGCATATAGAGAATTGCACTAGATTTTTCACAGGGGCATGGAAGTTTAGTTTTTACATGTACAAAAAGATAGACCGCAGGTTAATTCTTCTTTGTCTAAGGGCAAGTGCGGAACAAACGGAAACTATACTCCTCATCATTACGGACTGTCGGGGCGGGTCAGTGCGGCTGCGTTTTCCGCGGTTCCAAAGTCTTTCTGCACCAGTTGTTGAAGCGAGCAAATGACATAACAGCATTATATCCTTCGTATTACTCGTTTTCTACCACTTTTTGTCGCATACGCGTTTCAACGAAAAGGCTGAGAACGGCTTCAAACAGTGTGCGCACTCCTTCTGGCTGATACGCCCCGACAGTCCGTAATGATGAGGAGTGTATCTCCTAAAATCACACATACACTGCGAAGCATAATCATAGTTCCACCCAATCTCACAAAATCCCGTCTTACACGACGTTTTCAAAAATGCCCCCATACAGAAAATGTGGTAATTACCAATACCAATTCGCATGCCAACACCAAACTCTAGCTTGAAAAAACAATTTTTTTCGTCAATTTTTTCAAAAATGGTCGTTCTGACAACGCAGCAAAAATATAGTTCCACCGCATATTTTCCGGCTGCATCTCATTTTTGTTCGGTGAAACTTCTCATCATTATGACTTCTTGCCTCTTCTAGGCTATGGCAAGTGGAACTTCATTAATGGACCTCGAAAAAGGACAGATTATCGCAAAGAAGACTCAAAAACTGGTGAAGCGTCGATCGCTCGGGATTCGGGCCGCACTCATCATTCTATCAACAATTTTTTCCAAGGGACCTACAGCATATTGAGTTGAGAAGAGCTCTGGACATCCTCCTTTGCTGCCCGATCGGAATAACCGCCGTATCCTTAGGAAAGCATCCAACTCTGCAGTGTCGTGTCGGGAAATTAAGTCATCTTCGCAGGTTAATGTCTCGGAGGATACTGTTAGGCGTCTCTTGAAAAACTCCCGAGTTCACCCATAGGAGGAATATGAGTTACGTACTGTTTCTAACGAAAAACCATCGCGAAAACCTAATTGGCTTTGCTCGAAGATGTTGCCGAACCCAATGGAGTGAGGTTAGCTTTTGGCTGCGGTGCCCTACTGCTTGTCTGTAGTGTTTTTTTTTCAGTTTTTTTTCTCGCGGTCGTGTTTTCTGATGAGAAAAAATTCAACTGCGACGGCTCCGACGAAAACCGATTCCGCTGGCACGACCTGAGGAAAGACAAGTTTCATTTTTCCGGGCGGAACTTGGATGTGGTCTCATGGTCTGGGCTGCCATCGCATCAATGGAACGTCTGAAAATGTGCTCCGTAAAGTCATGCGACGACGTCTCCTCGTCGTCTTTCTGGCGTAGAAATCAGCAAGAAAGTCCCGTTTTCATGCAGGATAATGCACCAGTTCATGACAGTCGAAGCACTCGAGCGTGATTCAGTTGTCACCAAACCGCTCTTTTGCCCTAGGCCAGCGAGTAGCCCCGACTAAAACCCAATCGAGGATGTGAGGGGCTTCATGGTGCGTATGATCCATGAGAGTAATGCACAATTCCACAATGTCCGTGAGCTTAGGGAGTTAATCATTGGGGCAGTCCGGCGAAAGCCTATTAAAATCTCTAATCGAACATGGGCAACCGTATTTTCCAACTTAATTGGAGAAATAGAGTTCCAATAGATTACTGGATCAAAATTTATTCATTTTATTGTACATTTGTTGTTGGAATATTCGATTTGTTCGGTGGAACTATATTTTGCTGCGTTGTCAGAACGACCATTTTTGAAAAAATTGACGAAAAAAAATTGTTTTTTCAAGCTAGAGTTTGGTGTTGGCATGCGAATTGGTATTGGTAATTACCACATTTTTTGTATGGGGCATTTTGAAAAAGTTCGTGTAAGTGTGAGATTCATGGGTGGAACTATGATTATGCTTCGTAGTGTATTTCGTTGATCGTTTTCGAAAAATCGTTGAAACCCCCGACAGACCCGGCTTTCAACTGCCCAAATACTCTAAACCCGTAGAAAAAAATGCGATCTCTTGATTTGTCCAGTCCCTTGCGGTACTGTGGGTAGTAGAGCTTACTTTTGCGGCTCTTCCTGACGACTTGTGTGCCGGGGATAAAATGACGGATGGCGATTCCTACAATCTCTCAGATTTGAACGAATATAAGTTGGAGCATAGGAAACGACTAGAAGACCCCAGCCCACCCCAGTGAACATACAAAGAGTATACCTCCTGGATGGTGAAGCAGAAGATGGACGATGCGAAGAATACCGTTGTTGGGAACTGTTGTGATAGTAGGATGACCGTGATGGAGACGGCATTTCCATAAGAAGTGATCCGTCCCTGGGTAATGCAGCTGATCTTCTGAACAATGACCTGAATGACAGGCAAAGGTCATGAGCTTACCAGTGGTAAGGAAGAAAAGCAAAAAAAAAACTAAGTGCTTTAGATAGCCTCCCCCCTACCGATCGAACTCGTGCTAGTATAGGGCACTAGGACGAGTTTCCGCTTGGTATTGTCATAGCGATAGCAGCTCTTATGCCTTATCACCCCAATCTCGCGAAAGAGAACGGAAAGAGTGGTATCAGAACAGCCGCAACGTCAAAACCTTCAGAAATGAGAGCAGGGCGTAGGGTTAGGCATTGGGCGTTGCATCAACGCCGTCACGATCTCCTAGCTTCCTTATCCTGCATTTCCGAGTTGCCCAAGTAAGAAAATGCGAACCGAACTAGTCTTCCAATGTGAGCTGCTGTGGTGGCTTCAGTGCCCTTATCGATGTTTTTGGAGCAACAAAAGTGGTAAGAAACGACTGCGTGTCGCGGAACGGCGAGCCACCTTGATCCAAGGAAAGGAATGCGCATAGTAAACGTGCTCGCGCGAATATGGTTCTCGAGGCCGTCGGAGACCTTCCTTCAATTTCGTGAGAGCGAGTTAGGGGTTCTTTGTCGGAGGGGGAACATCTTTTTGCAGGAATGCAGATGCAGAAATGCGAGGAGTTAGATCGGCGCTTGTATCGGGTTCAGAGAGGAGCATCCTGGGCCAGCGACATGTACTCGACGCCGAGGAAAAGCTACCCTTGATGCCTTCCCTTTTATTTCCGTATGGGCGATCAAGCACTGAAATACGTCGCAGTATTGTTAGGGCACAATTACACGACGATGTTGTCTTGGTAAATATCCCCAACGACAACATCAAACGCCAACTTGTGCGCAACAGACTGTACGACAGACAGTGCTTGACACCAGACTGCGTTATCGCGCCATGGATGGGGAGTGGAGAGATTGCGGAAAAGCTGGGAGTAATGTTACGCAGCTTGCATGTAAGGGGTGTAGCAGCCGACGTATATCGGAGAAACAGGAAGGGTATTGGCTACACGCATTGGAGAACACCTAGCTGGGAAAAGGCGTGATATCATGACCACTCCCCTTGGCAAGCATAAGGTGGAGCAGCATAACGGGAACGACTTCGATGTTAAATGTGTTATACTGGCGTACGAGACGGAAACTTCAGCCAGGAAAGTTCTGGAGTCATTCTGGATTTTCGCGAGAAAACCAGGAATGAACAACCGAAATGAGTGTCTGGCTATTACAAATGAATTCCTGCCGTTTGTATCAGAGTGCGAGCTACAGTAAGGACTACGTGCGTGGCGACTAATATACAGATTTTGACTTTAGAGCCCAAATCAGTGAGACACAGGGAGTGACGTCTCATTCGTCCTTACTGGGTGTCAACTAACACACCGTTGCGTGAGCTGAGCTCAGCACGGTGATACTTCGTTAGGACTCATTACCGAGTTTTTGGGAAGCGTTTGGGAAACAAGGTCGGAAACGCTAGAGTGGGGAGGGCGTTTGGTCGGGTAGGTAACAAATTAAAAGCTTCGAGCCATTTTCAGGCCTCTGAAGAAGACGAGAAGGTCGAAACGTTAGGCCAATAAAGGTGTCATCTAAAAACCTCGTTTGGCAGAAGTAACTGAATATTCGACATGGTGCAAGTAGGGTTTACAAGAATTTGCAGGTCTTAACAAAGCGGCTTGTATGACTTCGAGAAGCCCCTTCTGTTGCCCCTACCAAGCCGAACTGCGCTGTCAACTCCTTCAAAAATTGAAACAAGGCGGATAATAAATATTCGAATCATTTACAAATAAACTAAGCATTTTGAAATCAGAGGTTATAGATTCATTGAACTTACTCGTTCATGCTCGAGTAATTCTCACGCCTTTTTGGGATTCTTCTGATCACAATCTGCTCCTCCCATTCATTACCATCGTCTTCATCAAGGAATCGGCTGTTCGAGAATTTCCGCTCAACATTACTAGTTTCATCCTCGTCTTCATCATAATCATCACTGCAATTACGAAGATTACACAAAAGCCAACAAGGTAGATGATAGAGGTCACGTTTACTCTCGAAAGGGAAAAAAAGGGGGCCACAAACCTGTCCATGTGGCCTGAATCTTGCTCATGGAGGTCCACTTCTTCCTCTGAGACATGACTTTCTTTTCCATCAACGAAACGTGCAAGCCTGGAAAAGAACCACATAGGACCAAAGTGAAGCGGTTCTGGGGCTGTAGACTATGCTCCCCCAAGGGGTGAATCTCTTCTCGTGATGCTGCGTGCACTTTGCGGCAGCATCCACCAGCGTATGGCGACATTTCGTGCGAACGCCAGCCCAGCGACTAGTAAAGTATAGATATCGATTTAGCGAACGCTAGCGTCCACCAGGGTTTGGAAGTGGAGTGCGTGGAAGTGGGAGGTTGTCAGACTACTGGACTAGGCGTTGTGGAATAGCGGCGTGTGCGAGCGCACCGTACAACTGCACTTACCGTACATCAAAATTGCATAATTCCGTGCTTTGGCAATTGCACGGTGCGGTTGCACACAACGCAATTTTACGGCGCCTAGTTCAGCTGTCTTCTTCCTACTTCTTCACATACTCTCCACTCCTGGAGGCTGCTGCATGCTGGCAAACCCTGGTGGACGTTGACGTTCATTAGATCGGTGTCTATAATTTCCCAGTCGCATGCGCTGGTGTTCGCTCGATGCGCTGCCGTGCGTGATGCTGCCACAAAGTATGAACGCAGCCAAATGCTCTGAAGGAGTTACCTCGCCAGTATTGCGGGATTTTCCCCACAATAAAAGTGCGAGGATACCTCACCGTGGAGAGGGAATATTACTTACAGCCTCTGAAACTGAGCAGTTCAAGGCGTCTATTTGGAAGGGGAGATACTCGGCCCGTTCTGAGTGATACAAGAGAAAATTGATAAATTTCACTACGTCTAGGAGAATAAAACGAACACTGGCCTTCTCGGATCGTGTACTTTGCTTGTAATCTTCCAAACGTCCGCATCAGGACTTTTGCAATATTCTCTCAGTTTCTGCAGTTCTCTTTTCGTCACTTCTCGACCTTCTTGTTCATATTCTTCAATCGTAAGAAGGCGGCGTTTCGGCTGCCAGTGGAAAATTTTCTTCCTGAATTGACCTTACAAGATGAGTAACATATATGAGGGCGAAGGTGGTGTAATGACAAAGGGTACAGCTTTTACTACATCCACGATCCACGGATTATATCTACAGTTGACTCCACTGGTCCCGGGTCTCCCCTCGATGGCGCCTCTTTCCCTCTTCGATCAGGGCGTAAGTCGTCTCGGGGCACCAGATGGTATTCAGCTGAGCTTGCATAAATAGACCCTTTTTCGAAGCTTACGAAGTCCTCGGACCGAAGTGGCTATTAGAACTTCACAGTTCAGAAGTTATTAGTATGCCCCCTCTAAGACAAGCAGTGCCGCGATCACTTAATCTGCACTAGACTCCGGAAGGAGAGAACACTGATAAATCGGCTGGCCTGTTAAGTTACTGTATAACCGTATGCATTCGATGTCATTACGATTTTGAATGGCAGCGAAATGCATGGCGAGTACCAGAACAGGGTTGGTCTACGCCGCAAGCTTCATGCATTCAATTATCTATCATTCTTTCGAGATGGTGGAACAGAGGGGGTGCACCCTAAACGAGCAGTCTAAAGCGTGAAAAGGCGGCAACCTAACAGAACAAATGGGTCGAAGCCCGAGCAAGAGGCAGATGGTTACATAAGAGAGACCCTTGTAGGTTATGTCGAAAACAACAGTTCAAAGCCACTCCCCAGTGCAACAGCCGTAAATTAGAGAAGTGGTCCGACAAGGTCAAAAAAGATTTGGGGAACAATGTGGTTCAAGGATATAATCTGGTTCCGAATGCGCAGGCTTAGAATTAGTTTTTAGAACCTACAATATGAAGACGACTCCACAAAGGGCCCAATACACCAACCACCATAGCGATGAGCGAACGATTCTGTGAAGGATTAAGATGATTATGGTTGCAATAGCTACCTCGGGAACCTGAGAAAACGGCATTTAAAATCAGGACTGAATTGATAAGAACCGTATAAAACGCACCTGAGAGGAGGAATAAATGAGCAAAAGCGATATTGCCTGTAATGTCCATTGAGCAATGTCATGCGAACGACTATCAGTTGGTGGTCCTCTTCTTGTAGCATACAGCAAACGATATCGCCATTACGGTGACCTTAACTCGCGAAGAAATATTTGCTGGGACAACAATCTCGCCCTAGGCCCTTTTTAGGCTAAAAGAAGCGAATGAGGAAAATGCCGAGAAGAACTTAAAAATTGCACCAACAACTTACAAAATAAGCCACGAGATAACTTTGATACTGTACAGCAATTGCAGCAAAGTTTTTCCACACAAAATGGAGTACATACACAGACAAAGACCATCCTCCAATAAGAATAGGAAGGCCAATTAATTTCTGGAAAGAAAATTCACAAAAATAAACGCTCCAGATAGAGTTGGACAGAGGACTTTTTAAAAAATATTCCGGCACTCAACATACACACCTGGGGAAGGTGGGTGGGGAGGCACGCGCGAAAAGCAGGCCTCACCTACTCTGGCCTGCTTATCAAGGGTGCGTTCAGACTTCGCGATGACGCGCATTGACGCTCCACCACTGCAAGTGGGGGAAGGCAGCCATGGACAAGCATCGATCGACGCCAGCCATCAATGTTTCGAATATAGGAGAACAAGAGCACAGAGGGCACACAGGCCCAAAAACCCTTCATTCTCCTACACTCTTTACAGCCAGCCGCCGGTGCCGATTGATACCTGTTTAGGCTGCATTTTCCGACAGTAGCGCTAAAGCGCTATTGCAAGTAGCGCGTAGTAGTGCGTCGGCGTACGTCGCCACAAAGTCTCAACGCAGTCTGAGGCCCAATGCCGTTGGTTGAAAAGATTGCTATCCTGGCGGAAGGACAAGGACGAGCAACCGAAATTGCGCCACCCCTCTACTGGATGGAGCCTATATTTTTAGCACAGGAGCACATACACAATGACGCCTTAATCGATAACAGATAAACCCGAGTTGCGGCAACGCGCAAACTAGCAGACCATTTCCTGGATAGTCTTGACACATTGCAAGGCGTGTAGAGCGTTATCTCCCAGTCGCTGCATCGCGCTTATGAGCAGAGTGTTTCCTAGCTAGTGGAACAGACAGACACAGGTTTAGAGAGAACTGGTTTACTCGAGAGACTCAGACGCAGAAAGCGTTGAGAGTGACTGCGTGACAGCACTGTTACGTTGTCTGGATTGGGTCCTGATACGAACACCGCAAAGGGTCATTCCGAACCGTAAAGCTTATTTGGTTGCGCATATCGTGACTGAGAGGTAGCCTCAAAGGCTCCGCGACTCAACTGCAGCACCGCCACCTTAAATCAATTAGATCTTGACGCGAACGTCTCACACGTGGCCCCGTTTGTGACGCTTTCTCTGCCGCATCTGGAGGAATTAGATCCTGCTGCCTCTGAACTGGTCGGATGAGAACGACGAAGAGCTCGCGCCACAAGAGGCGCCGTTAAGGGACAGAAAAAAAGAAGCGCAACCGGAACTTTAGCTGAGGAAAGCAAAAATTCATGAAAAATGGGATCCATTCATCTAAGGCGACGTTCATGCTTCGCGACTTCGGATAATCCCAACTCACGCTGTTGCGTGACCGACATTGTCTGCAAACCATTGGACAGATATACTCTCCCATCAACCACTTTCACGAATGAAATTCCTTTGACGTTCTAGTTGTCCATTGACAAAGAGCGCGTCTGGCCACAATCGCTGATTTAAAAATCGCCTTACAAGGGAAGGATGGTAGGTCGAAGTGGCCATTTGAAATGAAATGTATACCGGCTGAAAGGTCTTCGGACGGGAATTACGAAACCGTCTTCCCATATCTGCTGCGGACCTCCCAGAACGAAGTTACGGAGCTTTTTTGGGGAGAATACACTACAAATTGGCGGCGTAAGGCTGACGAGATCGTGGCAGCATGGCCGAGTGGATACGTCGTAGGGCTCACGGATGCGTGGTCGAGGGTTTGGATCCTTGATGCGTGTGCTCTTTTGCATTTTTTCGAAAGTGGTCCCTGTGCACTTCAAAGCTATTTTGCATAATACTTGTCCCTGATAATGTCGTTATGTAATGATTCTGAACTGATGGAGCCATTGCGAACCATTCCATAGAGATCACTTCTGGCTGTTGTCTTCTTCTTTCTTTGATTTGAAAAGCATACACAACAAAAGTGCATTCCAAAGAAGATTTTGCCTTCAAATGACTTTATTCTCCAAACGACATGACTGGAAAACGAATCCGTACGCACGAAGTTGTGCACGAAGATGAGTATAGTGGGAAAATGCTTCCATATGAAGTGGCGTTGATGTGACAAACATGCTGCTGAAGATCGCGATGGGCAAGAGCTTCATTTACCACTCACATAATGTTGAATTATGTCTATCTCAAAGTGTTTTCGTATCTGCTGGAAGTTTTCGGCTCGTATGACAATCTCTTCAGCCGGAGGTGATCTCCATGAAATCGTTCGCAATGGCTCCATCAGTTCAGAAACACTACGTTTATCAGGCACCAGAGTTATACAAAATAGCTTTGAAGTGCACAGGGCCACTTTCGAAAAAATGCAAAAGAGCACGCATCAAGGATCCAAACCCTCGACCACGCATCCGTGAGCCCTACGACGTATCCACTCGGCCATGCTGCCACGATCTCGTCAGCCTTACGCCGCCAATTTGTAGTGTATTCTCCCCCAAAAAGCTCCGTAACTTCTTTCTGGGAGGTCCGCAGCAGATATGGAAGACGGTTTCGTAATTCCCGTCCGAAGACCTTTCAGCCGGTATACATTTCATTTCAAATGGCCACTTCGACCTACCATCCTTCCCTTGTTAGTTTCGAAGTATGAACACAGATAAAAGTTCATATTAAAAACTCACTTTCGGGGCCATTCTGTAGAATATGAAAACAATAACAAGTAAAGAAGCTAGTAAACCAAATGAGCAACCAGTTCCGTAATAAAACACCGCGTTTCGTACTAGATGATTTGCAAACAGAAAAAGGAGAACACCGGCTAAGAAGCTGCCCAGACGAATGTAATTTATTTCTGAAAAAAGAAACATTAGGCATGGTGGCGAACCACTCTAAAAATCCGTGGAAAGAGGCGCATTTCGGTGACGGGGGAGGGGGAGGGAGAGGGGGTCATTTCGCCCTTACGCTGCTCTACTAGTTCCAGTTAACAAGTCTCATTAGGTGAGACCTGTTAACTATTGTGAAGCTGGAACAAACTCGTCGACTCAAGACGATGATACTTGTATGGTATTTCATTTCTTTACAAGAGGTAAAAGATCCTTTACAGGAGCTTGACAGGTGGCCTCCACAAACGTGTAATTCCGTGGCTTCACAAGATTTTGCAGGTCTCCACCTGACGGCTCAACAAGCCCATGGAAGAAGCAAAAGTGCGGAATGCTCCCCCCCCCCCCCTTCGAAGTGCGCCGAAAACATAAATGCATGCGCCTTCAAACTTACTCATAACTTTGGCCTGTACACTATATGGCAAGCGAGTCGAGATCCCGACCACAGTAACATTGAAAACGTTAAGCTGATGACTTTTCCAGGGGTTTACACCTTTGAGTAATCCAAACATGCGATTATCTTGATGAAAAGCCTCTTCAACGACGCTACAGTTGTCACCCTGAATTGCTTCAAATAGAGACCCCATTAAAATGAAATACCAGTGAAAGTCTTCAAATTATCAGTCAAAATGAATCCATTTCAATTAAAAAAGTGTCACATGACACAACATGTCACTTGCTCCAATTACAGCGGTCAAAGACATGACACACTACTGACTCTACTCTGCTACTTGCCTCTGTCAACCCATGTCTCATCAAAACGTCATTTAATAACTATTCCTTTATTAGTATTTTTTTATTCATTTGTTTGTACTATAAATATCTGCCACGGCGAGGAGTTTCCTTTTTCTTCCCTTCCTCCCTTTCTGCTCTCTTCTTTTCCTCCTTTCAAGGAATGAGTCAAACGACCTGGCGAGCGAATGTCTCCGTACACACTCGCAGCAAGAGGAATATTGGTCGACAAGTGTCTTTTGAACCCGGCTCCCACTCCACCTCCGATGACCCAGCCAACGAGGAGAGTGGTCGATCAGGAAAGTGTTCTAACGCTGACGCAGCAGACCTGAACCGCGTCCTTAATACGGCAGTGCACATGATTTCCTTAACCGAATCAGACCTGTTCACTCTTTCTGCCCAACATTTCTGAATTTGAGCCCAAATTCTACTGAAATTCCCCTCAGCGGTGGATTTCGCAGGGCAATCACCTTCAGGCGTGTGGCTACCCTCTTGAATCCGGTGCTTGTAGCTGGGGCGCCGATTGGTATCGCGAATACCGGAGTGGATGGGGAAGTCGTGCTAGAAGAGGAACTTTCAAGGGGAGGTCGTGCTGAGCAAAATATTTTCCCCAACGGCAGGATTTGTCCTGAGGGAGGTCCACGCGGCGGCACAATGTTTGTTCTGCGGACCAGGCTCTTGCAACCAAGTCGTCTGAGTCCTACTAAGCTGAGTTTGGCAGGGGGAAGGAGGAGAGAGAGCACAGATCACGTCACTATCACGTTATCTACCCCATTCCCCGACTGTACTAGCGCTGAAGCTAATTATCGATTTGTCCAGTTCTATGAAGAAGAACATCCACTTTAATTTTAGTAATACGAGAACATAAGAATGCAAATAATGACTCACCTTATAAATATCATACGTATCTTCGTCTGTTAAATTCAACAACAAAAATATATCGGTAAATGCTTTTGTTGGAGTATATTCCAAACCTCTGTGAATATATAAATCGAGACCGTACGTCGACTTAGCTGGCACTATCCATCGTGAATTTTCTAGTTCTGAAAATTCAAGCAAACTTTTAGTGAATGCCACTTCGGTCCTAGAAAAGGAAATGCCTCTCTGAGCTAAACAACTGAGCAGAACATACTGCTAGGGGGTGAGGCAACAGTTCCTTGCTAAGCTTGAAGCAGCCTTTTCAAGATAACTTTCATTGATATTGGACTGGCAAGCTCCGCAGTGCGTCCATAGTTTGCGCGCACTCAAAACGCTGGATCAGTACCCATACGTCCCTAATCGCAAGTATGAGCGCACTCACAGGAGTGAGCTGTCATGTACACACCAAATTAATTGAACGATTTGGCTGTGTTTATTTTTCGCGGCGGGGGAGCCAGTCAAGTTGATAGAAATAACAAAACATTTTGACAAAATCAACTTAGGCACCAACACGTAGCTCGGGAGAGGCACTAGTTAGCGTCCCAAAAAGGCTTATGCTGAAGGGAGACTATCCCCCGCAGCAGTGGTCATTTGCGCTTAAAAGGCAGTCCCGTGCTCAAGCATCTCTTGGGCGTCTTTTCTTGTACAAGGTCTTCAGTCCTAGATTATACCACTTTCGTGGCTTCATAGCTAGCTGCGAAGGCGCCGCGGCCCTCAGAAGTGACGGTTCTGGCCTTGCTAGTTGTCCAACAAAAGACAAACTATTCTCTATGACGAGTTCAGTTTGTCTTTCGTTTTCATTTTTAGATGATATTAGCTTTGGATAACGCGAAGGATCCTGAAGGGACAAGATATCGCTTGGCTAGCATAAATCGAGGTGGCTCGGAAAATTCGTTCGAGGTGCCAGGTCCTTACTTAAGATGTGCTCCATAATTCTTTTTGCTTTTCTCTGCCCTGGAAAGTCATTTAGCAACTATAGGTTCGTAATGGAACGCCCCTATTCACAACACACAATTGCAGGGTTTATCTTTAAGTCTGATCCTTTTCGGAACAGAAATAAGGAGGCGCTGGAGAGTTATACCCCAAACTAGGCCAGCGCCTCATAATTACGAAATCAATTCAGAGCCTCAATCAACTCATCAAACTCTTGAAGAGACTATTGAAGAAAATTTCCCAGAAGAAAATGTATACATACTCACCTCTAGCGTCACAAATACTCAAGGCTGTGTTTCCTGGAAACACTGATAGAAATAAAATCCATCGGAGCAATGTAAATAACTGATTCATCAGTTTATTTTCTAAAAAAACAAATGTATCGCTCCGCAACAAACTAGGTTCTTATGAATTTAAATAGGCCAGGAAGTCTTTAAAAATTAGCTCTGTATTCTAAGAGCACTACAACGCACCAAGTACAGAAAGAAAACTTCAAATTCTGAATCATGAGTAAATTCGAAAATTTCAAAACCAACATTGGCGCTGGTTCAGATTTTGCGAATGGAGCGCGTCAGTCTCAGTGCTTTATCACAGCTGTTGTTTTGAACAGATGTACCACTTAGCCGTGGTCGGAATGCTCTTTGTCGCGGTGATTAATACACTTACGGGTTTTTCAGGCGCGGTTCTATTGAGCTTTGTTCGTGCCTCATACATATTCCCATTGAGTTTTTTCTGCTGTTAAGCTGCTCTTGCAAAAGTCGTTGATGAATGTACTTACATACATACATCGCTTACCCTCGCTTACAATCCTCGCCTACAAACTCTCGTGATACGTCGCACTTTCTCTTCCTATTTATGTTCACTTAGGTAGTGGCGCTAGTTCAACACCGAACTAGTTGAGAATAGGCCACAAAATTCCTCTTATTGTGAACTAGAAAGAGGGGACAAAAGTGGTGTAGAGGGTGCCATCTCACGGGTCGCCTTCCCACCAAGCAGAAAACATGCCTATGACCCTTTCTGACAGGGTGAGACAAAACTGCCAAGACAGGACGGGGTAGGGTCGCGCTGCTGCCAAGCGTCCACAAACTATTTTTGTCCAAGAGGGAGTAATACCCATCTTCTTTCAACTAGCAAAAAGTCCATCTTGCATAGAGCATTGTTTACTAACCATCGAGCTCCTTCTCACTCAGCTTAGGTGAAAATTCGGCGCCATTGTAGTAGAGGCCGCGTTCATACTCATCGTTAGCAACAGAATCGCGCGATCGCAACAATCGGTTGACGCCGGTTGTGTGAAGCTCGCGATAGGCGCCAACCGTGAGCAAAAGGCGCCAAGCGACAGCTGACGCCGGTCGTTCAGGGGCCGTATGCTATACTTCCCCTCAAGGGGAAGATATCCCCAGTAAAGCTCCGCTGTCTGCCGTTATCTCTATCAATAACCATCGTCTCTCTCTTTCTCTGCTTCAGCCTCTCTGCATCTCTGTCCCCCCCCGCCCAGTCACCCAAAATCTCCCCCCAACGGCATGTGTTGGGGAGAGGGGAAGAGATCGATTATTCTCTGCGCTGTACTATATTCGCTCAGAGCGTGCGCCAGAAGAGTATGGATGCAGAGCGGCGAGAGCCAGAGAGGCGAGGGGCATCAGTAGAGACAAGGGCAGGGACTGGTGGATTACTAGGCGATGTCTCCCCTCGAGGGGAAATATAGTGTACGGCCCCAGATCGCGTGATCCCAAGCGATCGAATCGCGAAGTGTGAACGCGTTCTGAGCGCGTACGAGGCAGTGCCTCTGCGTACCTTCTCTTAAATACGCCTAAGCTTGGAGCGCAGACGACCAGAGTCGCTGCGTTCTGCTCCTGTTTCTTTTTTTTTTTCTGGGTTCTCTGGTTGCTGAGCATTCCATGACCTATGTTACCCTTGTTCCAGCTGTTACTTGTGTGTAAAGTGCTGATCATTGAGATCAATGTCCCTCCTTTCCAAAAACACGCAGTCGCCGCAACCTACGTTAGCATCAATAAATCTCATCTTGCACTGGTCACACTGTGTTTCTTCAAACATTCTAGCTCGAAAATGCCCGATCTAACACAAGAAAAGCCGAAGATAGTGTGGAAATGGCGGAAGCCCAGCTCATTGAAGAGTTTTTGTGCACAAATTGCGGAATTACGGTGACGCCAGGTGAACTACTGCACAAATTGCAGCACCTCACCGTGCCGGCGCTCATAAAAAATAATCTTAATAAAAATGATCGTGTTACACGAAAACGTGAGCAATGGAGGTTGGTCTGGATTCCCGCCGTCTTTTACGCGCAGTCATGTGATTCGATCGATACGTGTGAGAGAGCATGGCAGAGGAATAACCTATTTGTCTGGACTCTGCAAATCTATAGACTGATCATTAGACGTTTGAGGACTGATGAGCGCGTCAGAGAATCCCTGGGTTTTCGCTGCGAAATACGCTTCCATATGGTTGTCTTGTTATAACAAAAAAGAAATGCGATTCTCCCATTAACGAGCGAAGCGGGCCGAGCGCGTTTTAGGAGTGAGGGCAAAGCTATTTGTGGGCTGAGTCACAGCGCCAGCCATTGCCTGCGCCCCCCTCTCTTCCAATTCAACGCCAATTGCTGCTCGTCTCGGCTAACCATACCCATTAGTTCATTGATTCTTCTTCATTGCTCTTGCTTCAAAGAGAAAGTGTGAAAAATGATTTCGCCTTACATTTCCCATAAATTTCCCCTGCAAAGGGGCGTTTTGGCCTGCAGATTCTATTGCTAGTTGGCCGCTTCATTGATTTTCCCTTTTGTTTTTATTTCAATTAATCTAGCAACTGTGCTTGCGCAAAGTAAACGAAGCTATTCCCGTTCCGCTTGATTCCTCCGCCTTAGTTTCTTCTAACCGGCGCTGCCCGTTCACATTCTTCGCTGTCAGTTAACTTCGGCGAATGAGGATTTCCCAATATAATATTTTTTATTACATCAAGCATGTGGTAATTCAGTTAACACACTTTTTCTCAATGATATTATTGGGGTTTGGTGCTTACGCTCTGCCAGATATTTTTTCACATAAATTTTGCGTTTTGATTGAATTGTTCAGCTTAGTTAAGAAACCAATTTTAATGGCCAACTAGTTCGCAATGAAACACGCGGAGCATTTTGGTGCAGTGCACCGTAGATACTGAAAACGGCGACTTTTTGCACAAATGCTAAAGGGCGTATCTTTTACAAGTTAACGCAAAATCCACTCATGATCCTCTGATTCACAATCCGCCTGTGAGCGCTATAATGCCGTCTTTAAGCTCGAAATACAGGCCAAAGAAATGGCGCTCAACGCGACCACAAATTCCGCGGCTGTCGAAGACCTTGCGCCAAAACGCGGAGACGGAAAATAATGCCGTTTGGACTCCAGCAACTTCGGCACCGAGCTCATTTTTAAATTACCTAAGTCGCCAAACCCGCTGAAAATATGTACACAAGGGTTATTTACCATCCTGATTACAATTATGACACTCATTCTTGGCGCTGGCGCCAAGGGATGACACTACGATTACCTCTTGGGCTCAGCCTTAGCGGAGCGCAGGTAATCGTAGTGTCATCCATTAGCGCCAGCGGCAAGAGTGAATGTCATATTCGTAATCAGGATGTTAAACTACCCCTACATACAAGTTTTTAGCGGATTTGGTAACTTAGGCAATTTAAAAATGAGCTCGGTGCCGAAGTTGGAGTCCAAACGGCATTAGCCAAAAACGTGCAACCGTGATCTGGACGAACTACTGGCCCAAAGTGTCCTATTGCTGGAATGGAGTGCGGGGCATCTGTTAACGGTGCATCCAACTTATTCTTCCTTTTTTTCTCCCCCTTCCTTATTTCCCTGCCCTTCCAATACACGTCCCGAGATGCAGTGAGGAAATACCTGCTGGGCACATTAGCAGTTAGCAGAGTACCGTGGTGGCAGAATCTAAAGCGTGCTGGCAACAGGGTCAGAACGCAGATTTTGAATGTTTGTTGATGGTGGTAGTTGCGGACATTATTGAACACCATGCAGTTTTTACAGCATAGCCATTTGCGTGAACGCTATTGAATCTGAAGTGGCCCTTCTAGAACATCACATGGACTCTGTGAAAGACATTCGACGGGCCTCATCTAATCTATCCTTTCTGTCAATCAAAAAAGGCGCAAAAGATGGGATGCAACGAAAGTGCAAAATGTCCCCCCCCCCCTCTTTTTTCCGAGCCAAACTGCGCCCCACAAGGCACTCAGGGGATCTTCATTTGCTGGCCAGAGCGTT